TCCTTTTCAGTTCATTATTTTTTGTTAAGTAATTATGAAGTGTTGGATGGGAGATTCATATCATTCAAAATGGCTGCTTGGTGCACATTGACGCGAATCAGTGTGTCCCAGGAGAACTGCACCCAACATATATCCTTTTGTAGTTCATTTCTTCATTAACTTTCATTATTATCATTATTTTTATCATACACTCCTTAATCCACTCTTTTTCCACCAAGAATTTCCAATATTACTTTTTATAAATAATAAATAATAAGAGAAAATAAGACTTTTCGAAATGAGAAAAATTATAGAAAAGAAACAATCTGCAGCACAGCAAAGTAATAGAGATAAAAAACTATAAAACGCAACAACGCTGCTGGGGATAAAATACACCAAGCCTGTGAAGCGACAGAGGAGAAGTAAGAAGGTGGAGGAATTATATTCATCAGAAGAATCTGAAACATTCTTGGGTCAGTAGTGTCACACCAGATGATTTGAATCTAAGTGATCTGCTAGGTGAATAAGAATCAATGGAAGAAGCAAATACTTTTGACCGAAATATTGTTGATGATGACTTTGAATAGTGCGGTTTGCAAATAAGAAATCGGTTGTTCTCTTTGTAAGCCAAGTTAAAGGAAAAACTGATGATGGAAACCCTCTCGTCCGGTTAATGAACACAAAACCTGGTAACGTTTACCTTTTTTCCTGTAGAAGAGAATGGTGGCTTTGAAGTGCCAAATATGACAAAGTTGCCACAGGCAACACTTGGACAAGAAACAACAAGAACATCAGGCCGTAATACATTTAATTTTGATTGCTTTAACATTCCTTACAAATAAACTGTGGGTAATTGGTAACTCTTCAAATAAATATATGGAAGTTATACGTATTATTTTTATTTGTTCATTTTTACATTCCTTATAAATTGTGGGTAATTTTAATTTCTTTAAATAAATATAAAATGATTTGATAATTCATTTCTATGAACAATTTGCAGTGGCAGTTATTTTCTTCACTTTCCCGAAACGTATGAAAGTACCCCAATCTACCTCTGGGATGAGGCATTGGTACAAATCTGCAAACTGCAGCGTGTGGTTTGCAATTTGTACAATTCTCATGGCAGAATTTTCTGAGGCCCTCAACATGTTTACAAATCATGTTAATCTCAGAAAGCGTCTTCTGCCGAGGAGTGGTGGAAGACGTCACACGTTTAACTGAAGCTCTAAGGTGGTGAGTAAAGGCTTCAATCTATCGCTATTTGCTTAATGTTCTCTAGGTGGCTGTAATATTTCAACACACAACCCCAGCTGACTATCCAGAGGTGGGAAAGGAGTAAATGTGAACAGGTTTGAAAATATCCCTTCCATCAAGTTCCATTTTGTAAAATTCTTCGTAGTCTTCTGCCCAATTCAAGAGAAAGAATTTTTGGTCGCTTTTTAACAACTTGGTCATATAGCGACCACTGTGATTGCTTTAACTGTTGGCACAACATTTAAGGACAACTCGAACACACACAAACATCCATGCGGCGGGATACGAACTCCGGGCCCTACGAGCCGAGGCAGCTCAACCATAGTGACCTAGACTATTCAGGCCGGTAAGTTATTTCTTTATTATGACTTGATCAATGCGCTAAGCTAGTTCCATTCCCAGATATCGGAATGTTGCTACAGCCTGGATACATCCCCAGATCTGAAGTTCATTCGCTGTATTTTGCAGTTTTCCTTTAACCACACTGAATGGTCGACATTTGTGCTGTCTCAATTGCATCCATATGTTGTTTGGAAAGATTTCGACAGTTTTCAGAAGACTTGTGATCTGTGTCTTAGCTTTGCAAATGGCCCACGTCATCTATAAATGCTAGTGGTTATTGTGATATAATATTTTCATGTGTGTTTTCATCCGCATATCCGAAGTCTGTGACGTTTGAAGTATTAAAAATGAGATTCATGCACAAAATAAGTCGTAACGGACTTATAATCTCCTTGAAATATTCCACATTTAATATGGATGGCATCACTCTCAGTGGCTTGAGTTGTTTTCGTCACACGCTGCAGGCACAAGTGAATTGAATTCATAAAGCGGTAGTATTTCTAGTATCCCATCATGGGAAACAGGATCGAACGCTTTCTTAAAATCTACATGGGCCGTAATTATACTTACTACTGTTAACTACTGATACATTTATTCTTCAAAAAATAATTTAAAAAAATAAGGTCGCATCAACAGCTAGGTCATTAACGACTACTATAGATTAACGATATGGTTAAGAGTTTGATGTGATATGGTGATGGTGAGAGGTGAAAGAACGAACTCAAATACAACCATTCCTGAGGCGAGACTTGAACCCGCGATCCTTCAGTTCTACATCGCTATGACACATCTGTCTTAACCATTCTCAATTATAAATAAATAAATACTTTTGTTTTAGAAACTAAATAATTTTTACTGATGAGTTTAAGATGAAGAGAGTTGTGTCATTTCCAACCTCCGGAAACAGGAAGAATGTGGCTACAATAAGACGTCTGCATCTCTGGATAGATATGGCACTGCGTAACGAGGCAATAAGCCATTGTTTTGGAGTGCATCCCTCCGTTAGTTGAGCTTCACGCTGCGCTGCTAGGACACGCTGTGAAGATGGCACACGGAGGAAGTAACCAAGGTCACGATGGCACATATACAAGACGAGACTGCCGTAAGATGCGTATTACAAAATATTACTAAGCTTACTGCACATGTAGATCTAGGCCAGGTCGTAGATTTGTAATGTTTTACGAGTATTTAGTACGATATTGTCAAGTTGTTTACACCAGTGTATTCTCTCTCGAATAATCTAAATAAATAATACAAAGTCGGGTTAGTTACACCTTTTACAACTCAAGAACTGTTGAACCAATTTTAATTATCCCTGATTTGTTAGATTCATATCCGCCCCGAATAACAGAACAACAACTATTAAAATATCAAAAAAGTCCACAAAAAACAACAAAAAACAAACAATAAAACAAACAAACAAACTAAATATCCATATCAACTAAACCCGCAACACTCGGCAGGGTTTTTTCAATATACATCATTAAGTAACTCTTAAACGAAGCGTTCTAGGACATTCAAAACTAGAATTTTTAGGCCAAAGGTCTCAAAGAAGCGATTCTCACACCGTACTCTACAGGATGAGATCTTCTTGCACATCTTTAAAATTTTTGTTGGTCTGGCACTTCTCGATACCCCCACCTGCTCAGAGACGAGCAGAATCTGCAACTAAATGTGTATGAGAGGGACAAAGAGAGGCAGAGAGAGACAGAGAGAGACAGAAAGAGAGAGAGACGACAACGACGACGAGAGAGGCGACGAAGAAAAAGAGAGATGGAGAGAGAGAGACTGAAAGACAGTGAGAGACACTGAGACGAAGAGAGAAAGGGAGAGGGAAGGAGAATGAGGGAGATGAAGGGCAGAACAACGTCTGGCGGGTTCCGCTAGTTTATCATAATTAATATTCGGGAAGTTTTGTGATATTCAGTGTGACTCACGAATTAACATATTACGTGAACCGAATGGATAGTTTAAAATTACAGAAATTACGAATAAGGAAAATTGTACTAAAAACTACCGGTTTATATGAAGCATTCATTCAGCTCTGAATTATCACAGCCTCCTGGAATAACGTTTTTCCAAGGAAAATATGAATAACAGTTTAATACAGAAAATGATTTCTGATTGTTTTAATTTTATGGTAACAAAACTTTCAAAAAATAATAATAACAAAACTACTTACACAAACATTTATTAAAACCACAATCATTAAAGTTACAGAAAGTTGATTTTTCGATGTTTTTTTTTGTTCTACCAAAGTATTTCAAAAGGAAAACATAGAAGCTGAATTAGCAACGAGTTTCGATAATTTCGAATAGATTCAACATACATTTGCACTCACTTTGAAGTATTGTCCTACTTATTTTCGTTGTAACGTTCCACATAGTTTTGATAACATGTTCATCGTACTCATCACCATCTAATCTTCGCATGTTAATGGCCCAATCTTTCAAAATGTGTGTTCATTCATTTCTAGTTTGTGCTGTTATTTTATATTTTCTTTCTTCACAAAATTCTTGAAGTTGCTTCCACACAAGTTTGTTATTTTGCTGTTTTTCGGCCCTGAATATTTAATAATAAATTCTATTTCAGAGTTTGAAACATGACCAAAACGACTCATTTTAATATTATATTAATGCTCAGAAGCGAGTACAGACATAAAACAATTACTATCGATAACAACAAAAAGGTAAATAAAATTATTACCTTGGAGCTACGAATACATGGAGGTGTCATTACAAACCTCCGCATGTGCAATTACCAACCTCCCCCATGTTCTGGGAGTGAAGCCAGTCCGCCATATTGGTATGCCCAAAACATGTCTGTCAAACACGATAACAAATGGGTAGTACACATTTTTAAATGGAATTTAATAATATTCGGAATATTGCAGAGTATAAGTAATAAAATGAAGAAGCTTCATTACAAATTGTGGGATTACTGTAAAGTATTTTCAATGGTGAAAACCAAAATAACTTCAAACTTAAAATGTCAATAACCACACATTATTAAATGTGCTTCTTCTGCCTTTGATATTTTTCACGTGATCTCTTACAAAATTATGCAAATAAATGCAAACTTAACACTGGTAATATTCTGAAGGGACAGGTGATGCACAAATTATTACGAAATATTCTTAGAATTAGTGTAGTCACAATATTCGAGGTGTGGCTACCATACCAACTATATTATTAAAAAGAGCACTTTGTCTTACTGTGCTGTTACTTTTCTTATTTCATTATTTCCCCAAACAAACATTAAGTACTCTCATCTCACGTCAAAAGAGCAGGGTTCTAAAGTGTGTAGTTCACCACGCGACCACCTTTATTACCGGCCAAATTTCCCCGGAACTGCTGGTAATCGCTTAAGACAGTTTCCACTGTATTTATAGCCGAGAAGGCGAGTGAGTGTGCGGCGGATTTCACTTTCGTTTAGTGGTGCGTGCGCGGGTGCGTGTGGGGCCGGCAGGGTGCGCCGAATCCGCTGCCCACGCGCCGAGGGCGAAGGGGCGGGGCGAGCGCAGAGCTCCTCGCGGCGCAGCGCCGTGCCCAGATTCGCACCTGCGCAGCCGCTTCCGCTAACGCCGCGCTCATTTAATGGCCTCGACCTTTTCCAAATGACTCCCTTGTCTTCGTCATGAGATCTACCTCGAAATGTATTCCAACCAGGTACGCATCTTGTGCAAGGTTTCGAGAACGAAAACCACTGGCAAAATAAAGAAAATTATCACACTCGAAAATTATCATTATCGTACTATCATTGACGTAGTTTTGACAGATGTTGAGTTAAGTATACATTTAAAATGTAATAAATGTCGGAAAATAAAATGTTATGACAAAATGTTCATGTTGTCTCTTGCTAAATGTTTGGTCTCAGTAACTTTTATTTTGAATTACTTTGCGATTCGAAAGTTCACTTTTCGAATTTCCTCAGAATAGAAAAGTCTGTTTATGGCATTGTTGAAGACACAGTGGCTGTTGATATTAAGTTTCTGGATTTGACTAATGAAGAGAAACATATTTCTTTCTATTACAATTATAGAGTACGGGCATTTTGCAAATTAGCGGCCACGGTAGAAATCTCATCACGCACACTATCATTGGGCCCTTTCACGGTAACTAAACTCTTCATATATTAGCTGATGCTTCATGTCCTTGTACCACTGCGCCTTTTTACATCCTGACTTCCACTATGCGACTGTGTGGAGAGTCGTAAGCCTAATGCAGCCGAGGACTGTTTCCTGCTTGTGCGACCCTGGCGCCGCTTGAACCTTATAAGAAGGTTTAGAGGCGGCCAGATGGACCTCTAACAGCCTGAAGGCCCATTCTGTAGCTTTCTCACCTACCACGAGATCGATAAACTCCGACACCAATTGAAGGATCACCATGAAAGTTGCCACATCTAAGTGTTATTGGTTTTTTTTCATGGGTTTGATGGTTTTCAGTTTGTTGTAACTCTCCACTAGGTGGCGCTCTAGCACAAGATGGTGCATTAGTTAAATGCAATTCCCAGTCCACCTGGGCTTCATTGTAGCGGGGCGGTGTCGCGTAGGACAGGACGAGCGAGCGACGTCGAATGTAGACGAAACCAATGCTGAGCTAGGAGTCGACAGCGAGGGGGCGATTGCGTCACGAGCACATCCAGGTCGCAGCACGGAGCGGCAAGACGGAGCTGAAGCGCCGAAGCGCGCTTCAGGACGGGGCGGGAAGACGGTGGCGGGTTCTGCTAGTATTATATAATAAGTAAACAGATCGTCGGATGAATGCGAGGAAATGAAAGCGATTTTAGTTTATTTTATTTGTGTACATCTCAAACACACAGGCTTTAAGAGCCCAAAATATATTGCAGATCATTAGTATACATAAGTTTCATAATAGAAAGAAAATACGAAAGATAATAAAAGTTTGGCATGGCTATTCGAACTAGTCTAGACTTACGCCTCGGGTGGATGGATTACGTTTTTGTTTGTTTTTTGTTGTTTTTTCTTTCTTTTTTTGCCATGAGCTAGAACTCTGCAAATGACTTCTGAATTGTGTCTAATCATAGACTTTCGTAATGATTGTTTTGTATTACTGTGAATTTGGCAGTTGGTCTAATCAAAATAAACCTCCAATAAGTTATTGAAAAGCACCTCTTTAATTACGATAATCTCAAATTGCATCGAACAATTAAATACACTTTTTGTTAAAGAAATAATAGGAATTTCAACACTTAATGTTATAAATGTAACGATACTATGAACCAAACGGTACAACATAACTCACCGTGCGTAGACTTGCTTTATTTAAAGGATTTTGATTTGTTTGAGTAGTTTGAATAGTTTGGAGATAATAATTCAATTTTTGTAGAACACGTCTTTTTAAAAATTCTTCTACTGAAACAGTTTTTCATATAAGTATTTCGATTTCAACACCGAACTTTCTTCAGAAACGCCAAGAAAAAAACACACCAAAAGGTCGAGAGTATCAAATTAGACGCGCTGGAAGTGGTACGTGCGGGACGTCAATCACAGCTGTAGAGGTGTAGTTTGAAGGGGACGTGGTGCGGCGCGGTGCACCCAGCAGTTTGGGATCGTAAAAGGTGCGTTGCGGCGTGGGTGACCTGGCGCTCCCAGCCGATCAAGAAGGCGCTTGTTGTGATGTACGCAGCATATGAACTCAGATGTAAGAAATCTTTATTCTACAGAGAGGATGATGGTGAGAATAACGGTTAATCCCATTGTCCCTCCTACCGTACTTTAGGTTTTAGTGGATATGTTTGTGTACCCGAAGAAGCGTTTCTTCCGGTACCGCTCTGGTATCCGCCTGCTATTGATAGGAGAAACCACGAAAAACTACCGTCGAGAGTCGGAACTCCTGGAGTCTCCCGGTCCGAAGTCCTAGTCACTGCCGTCGGTTGGCGCCCTGAGCCTCCTTCGCTGCCAGCGGGCGACTCCGGAACGCGGGACCGCCGAAAGGAAGAGTGGGGGCGGCGGCGGGGCGCGCTCGGAAGCAGGCTGGCGTGGGCGGCGGGGCTCCCTGGGCCCCCGGCGGGGGCTCAAAGCGGCGCTCTGTCAGCCCTTCGTCACACGAGGCGCGCTCGCGCGGCGCGCCAGTGACAGCACGCGGTAGAATCATGCCCAGGAATATCTGTTTCGTCAGAACATCGCTCCTTCGAGCGGCACGCTGGCGGCGGCGGCGGAGACGGGGGCGAGTAGAGTACTTCGCGGGTCGCTGCGCGGGCCCCGTAAAAGGGGATGAGCACCATTGCGAACAAGAAACACCTCAAATACTTCCACGCGTCGAGGAGTTTCCCTTTGGGTAAAAAAATGCCTTGAATAACCGCTGGCTGTTCCACTCCCGGCTGAAGACTGAAGGGGCTTACATAACACGCTGAATAAGTGGCTATAGTGCCAAGAGGAAAGTGCCTATCTTCTGGACATTTGAATGAGTTGGTACACGTTACATGGGGTCCATATAAAGTTTTGTTTCTTCGCGTTCAGATTTGTGCCATATAAGGATTGCAATGATCGATTTCATCATTTGTTCCAATTCTTTGAACAAAAATGGAACCTTCTCTGTTATTACTTGGTGGGAAGTTACATTTTCTCCCATTTCAAAAGTGTCTTTTCTCAATTGGTAGTCGTCTGAAGGCAAAAATGTAATGAAATACCACAATGTATTCAACTACACCTATTTATTCCAGAATTTGGTGTTTGGGTTGTAATGATTGCCTATTCGTTCATTTAATTATCCATTTGTATCACTTACGATGCTTCAATGTTTTGCAGTGGCTTTGTTACATAAAGGTACATTCTTTGATATAGGCATTTCGTTTTCTAGATGCAGAATGGAACGATCATACCTTGCATATAAAGTGAAATTTTAAAAATCAATGACGAGGAGAAGAATACAGTACATTTCTTCAGAGTTTTTTAAATGGAACTTTTCACCTTCATTACATTTACGCTACCAAAACATTAACAAAATTACAACACATTTTGTCACAAATATAACAGTTGAATGTTCAATTTCCTTGCTGTCAGAGTGCAACGCAGGTTGAAGTGATCTAATCGAGCTCACGAGGCAAGTGAGGAGCGGAAAGTAAGCATACGTTTACGGAAACTGGCACGCCTCCGGTGCTCGGGAGGACGAGTGGTACAGTTAGGCCGGAACAGGGCTACCAAAGTGGCGCTGCGCGCTCCGCTGCTCAAGCGCGTCTCCCGCGCCGGCGACAAGCGGCGCCGCTCGCCCCACAGCCGAACCTCCAGCCGCGATGCCACGGCCGGAAGGAAAGACGGCCGCTAAGACTACTTGGCCAAGTCACAAAACGCTAGGGAGGGAAACGTCATTAAAATAACCACCTGGTTGTATAGGGTTTTCCGAGACAGGTATCTCCCACCAGCGGGGCACCTAGGGATGGCAAAATACGTCGATACTCATAAACCATCGATATTGTCGAGCAGAAAAATCGAGATCATAACATGTTTTGCTTTTGATGTTTCCTTCGTTCTTCGTTTTCGTCGTTCGCCGTTTGTTTTACTACATAATGAAAGAAAATGATGTCTTCAATCACCACATATCGCCAATCGTATCGCGTATCAATCGTCTCTCCACGTAAAATAAGGCATTAATTCATAATTCAATTCAATAGCATTCAATAGCTTTGATATATGAATCAGTGTTTTTTGTCAAAAATGACTTACTTAAGGACGGAAATATATTTTCAGCAAACGCCGTTGTCTATAACTACAACACTCGACGTTGTAATCATATTCATCAGGTGTCAAGTATCAACAGCTCACTAAAAAAATTCACATATAATACATGTGTATTATTTTACAACTCCTTGCCAAATGATATTAAACGATTAAATTCGATACAAAAGTTTAACTCCCAAGTAAAATCTTTTCTGCTGCATAACTGTTTCTAATCAATTAGATACTATACCGATCATCCAAAAGGAAAGTAATACTACTTTTATCAATGGCATTGAATGTATTATATACCATTTGGATTGTATAGTTCAGATAAAACAAAATGGAGTCATGAGAGTAATAATTCAATGCAATATATACACTCCAGTGCTAGATATGCTATACACTCTGAAATTTATGTAAACTAATGAAAATTCATTACGAGACTATTTTTTTTATTTTTAAATTAATTAGAAATCGTATAATAGGAGATTTGGTAAACAAAATCCAAAGAGTGAAAGATAAGAAAAACAGGTAAACAAGACAAGCTGAACATTGAGTAATTATTTCAGTAAAACTGTACAAGCAAAAAACAGACAATTGACAAAGATTTGATCTATATAATAAATTACCATTAGAAATTAAAAAAAACTGTGAACAAATTAAAGAACTTAAAAGAAAAATTTTGAAATACAGAAAAGAAGAAAACTAATTTTGCAAATAGTTGAATAGAGTATACGTATAGTAAACATTGTATGTTTCAAATGACCGAAAAGGCTAAATGAACCTCACTATTTCTCATCAAGAATATCTCGCTTACGTAAAAATGTTCCATTTTGTTTGTTAAGTGTAGTAAGTAAGAACATATTCGTTAAATAATTAGTTTGACTGAAAGAAAAAACTGCAATGAGAGTTGTATATCGAGTATTTTCGAGTTCATTTTCGACATCATCCTTCAAATTGAAATACATTCTTTGTTCATTTTTTCAGTGAATATCGAAATCCTTTACCGGTGTCAATCGCTCGTGAACAGACACCATCATCCGATAGCTATCACACTTTGAAGTTATCTCGACCAATTTTCCCATCCATTTCTTAAGCTGCGAATTTATTCCAATTTTATTATCTGCAGTACTTCAAAGGATTTTGTAATAAGACATACTGTATATACTACGAATTTCAGTAATTAGCCGTAATGCATTCTATTTTTAATTTATTAATGTGCATTGTATTGATTGCTTTTGTTATTATTACTATCGTTATTTTTTTACCATTGTTAATATTGTTATTATTAACACTGTTATAATTATTACTATTGTTATAGCATGGGGCAGAGCAAAAGAGCGCGGGGGGACCAACAATAAAAATTAGATCTTTGGAACAGTTGGGGAATATTAAGATTAGCGGTATCTATAAAGTGTTTAAATTTCAGGATTATAGAGTCAATAGGTTTTGAGATTTATCGGATCGCACAAACGGACAGACATATATACAGAGAGACAACAATGGATTGGATGTGAGATTCGTTTTTGTAATCGAATTATTAAATTTAAAAAGTATTTAAAAAGTTGAAAATACGAAAATCACAGGCACTCCAGATTTATTTATCAGTATTGGTTTTAATACCGCGTTTTTCAGGAGAGCACAATAACCGTAGTTCCGAAACCAGAAAACTCAACATGGCCGCCACTGGATTCCCCGATAAGACATTTGTGACGAGGCATAATGATGATGTGGGTGACGAGCATGAAGATGAAGGTGGGGGAATGAGAGACTGGGGATACGGGAGGACCTCAAGAAATCTTCCCGCGGACCACCTTTGTCCATTACAAATGCAACTCGGACGGGGTCCAGAAGAGGTTACTCCAGCGGCCTGAGTTTCACTTATTTTTCACAAAAAACAACAACAACAACAAAGATTTGTTTATAGGTTAAAAGATAAACCGCCTACAATTACTTTGAAATATGACTCGAGATGAATGTATTAAAATGAACAATGATTTGCAATAAACCCATGATCCTCAATATAAAAAACCGTGACTTCATTCAAAATTCAAGCACTTTATTGTGCCCATAAAAATGCTCAACAAGGAGCCGAGGAACGATTAGCGCCCCGTCCAGAAAATGAAACGACGGCGTCCCCAAGCGCCTGGGCCGGTGCTGCGATTCCGCCTGAACGTGTGCTTGAAGACGCGCCGCCGCCGCTGCCTTCTCTATTCTGAGGAAGCGACGTGGAGCACAGACTGCGGCGGCGGCGGCGGCGGCGGCGACCCGGATGTGGCCGACGCGAGCAGCCTCCCGAGCAGGCGGCGGCGGAGAGAGCGTCCTCCGCCCTCCACCCTCCACCGACCACTCGCCGCCGCCGTAGGCCGACATCGCGCCGCCGTAGGTCGTCTTCTCGCCGCCGTAGGCCGACATCGCGCATCCTCCGGCCCGCCTCTATGAAGTCATCGCCGCGCGCTGCCGCAACACAAGGGCGCCCCGACTAGCGATTACTCTCCGAGGAGGCTGCCATTACTGTTACGCAACGGAGAATTTGTGTTGCTCAGATCGCGGGAAGTGTGAAAGTTTCCTTTGAACTCGGTTCACTCGACTTGTGGGCTGAAAGAACATCTGTCTTTTAATTTCAGTCCAGATTAAAGCCTCGACATTTAATACAATGAAAATAACGTGGGTTTCCTATTATTATTATTATTATTATTATTATTATTATTATTATTTGTATTGTGAGTTAAGTGTTCTGTCGCAAGTCAATTCATTAGCAACTTGTGGAAGATAAGGGAATACCTCACGTTTATCATTAAAGTCCAGGAAACGATTCTCGTTTACTTATTTCCATTATTGTAAATAGACTGTGAGTAGCTCTTCACGTTAACTTTTCACGTTAACGCATTCACATTATTCTTATGATTTTTATGTCCAGTTAAAGTATTCCCTTTATTAATACATGATGAACAAGCTAAATATTCGTTAAATACTGAATGGTTCCTATATCCCAACTGGTGTAAGAGGCGTTTCTATCAATGAGAATTAATACTGTACAAATAACACGTAAATTCTCATTATATATAAATGCTATCAATAACTGAATTAATTTCATAGTTTAAAATTGATCTAACTCGGTAATGAGAGATTTGCTGTGCCGGCTCGGCCAATTACATTGCAAACGAAATTCATTTGGAACGTTTATTCCACAATTCATTGAACTTTACCGACGGTTCACATAATTTGTTTTTACACGATTCAGTAAGAACGTGTAATTTCATGCCGGGAACTGAAATTGTTCACCTCTCGCTATTTAAAATAGGTTCATACTGATTTTAAAATATTGAAGTTCACTTCCTCCTATCAATAAAGATCGTTAATCTTTACGATGAACGTGTCATCTCCATGTAGCTAGAGACTATAGACATTTTAGGGCGCTGCCCCTAGAACGATTCCTCCATATTAGGTTTCTGAGGCGCGATTGCATATTGTACTTGAACCTCGTTACCATGTAAATTAGGTGGGGCCATAAAACAATCACGTTTTAGTCATGTCCCATCAAGATCTTATTTTTATAACCATACAC